GGTTTGGATGAGATATAATATGCAAATTAAAAAATTATGCTTCCCTTCTTTTCCTCTCAAAAATTAATTGCTAAAATGAGGCCAACTGGGACTTTAAAATATCAGTAAAGACCTGGAGAAATGGCTCTGCGTTAAGAGCACTTGCCGCTCTTCCAGAGGCCGAATTTGGTTCTCAGCACCCATGTCAGGCAGCTCACAACAGTCCAACACTCCAGCTCCAGGAGACCTGATGCTCTCCTCTGGCTTTTCTGAGCAACCCCACATAGTGAGACACATATACATAAATGAATAATTTTTAAAAGAAGACCAATAAAAATAGGAAGATAAGTGTAAAATGGATGATGTTGGAAATTCTGCGACTAAGTGCTCAGTGTGTTACAGGCTGGAATTTCTGAGGTGTGGTGTATTGCCCTGACAGTGAGTGTACAATGAGAAAAGGAGGAAAGGGCTCCATCCTACCTGACCCAGCACTACAGGTGCTGCTGCCTACACATGTTCCCCAAACGTGTTGGAAACTGACTCCCCAGTGCTGCCGTTCTGGGAAGTGTAGCTGTGCAGGAAAGGATTTGTGGGATGACTTCACACCCTGTGTTCCTCTCCCTTCCAGTTGCCAGCTCATCAATCTTGGAATTTCCAGCCTCCAGAACTCAGAAAATAAATTTCTGCTCTTTTGTAAAGTTTCCCTTTTCAGATATCACAGCAGTATAAGCAGGTTCAGACGTGGCCCATGTTCTCAAGGAGATGGAATTCTGTGAAAGAAGTGGAAATGACACGCAAATAAGACTGTTCAAAGAACTGAAAGTGTCATCAAAAAAATAAAATGATCCTAGCACTCAAGAGGCAGATCTCTGCGAGATCAAAGTCAGTCTGGTCTATATAGTGAGTTCCAGGCCAGCTGGGGCTTCAAGGAGACCCTGACTCAAAAACAAACAAACAAATGGTGAGAGGTAATCATATTATATGAGTTGGGGTGAGAAGAAGTTATGCGAGAGAATGTAAGCAGGTCCACCACTGTCTGAATACTGAGGAATAAGACACCTCTGTGACCCCAAACTGAGAACAAGGGGTGTGCAAGGACCAGAAAGAAACTAGATGGCACATATACTGGAAAGTGAGCAGCACTGACCCCAGTGGCCCTGCAAATCAGCTATTATTAGAGTGCGTATCACTTCTAGGGGAGGGGGAAGAATGAAAGGTAGATCTTAGGGGACTTTTTTGTTTGTTATTTTTTGTTTATGGGGTCTTAAAAATATTTTGTTATTTTTATATGTATGAATGTATTGCCTGCATGCATGTTAACTGCATCCATGTTGTGCAATGCCCGTGGAGATCAGAAGAAGGCATCTGATCCCCTGGAACTAGAGTTATGGATGGTTGTTAGCTGCCATGTGGGTGCTTGGAACCAAACCTGGGTTCTCTGCAAGAGCAGCCAGTGCTCTTAACCGCTAAGCCATCTCTCTCTCTTGTGTGTGGTAAGGTTGGTTTGGTTTGGTTTTTTGAGACAGGGTCTCCCTCTAGTCATAGCTGGCCTGGAGCTTGCTCTGAAACCAGGCTGACCTCAATCTCACAGAGATCTGCCTGCTTCTATCTCTCACATGCTGGAATTAAAGGCATGCACCATCACACCTGGCTTAGACCTTAGCTCTTGAGCCAAGACTATTTCATTAGCACAGCAGTCATTCTTTAAAACACAGACACAAATGATGACATACGATGTTATTGCCACATAAAAGAGAACACCACGGACCCAAATGCAGGAGCCAAAAGACGTAACACAGCAGAGGAAAGTCCTGGCCTGGCTGGGTGCTGGGTGCCTGGTGCCAACATGCTTTTCGGTATAGGGGAGGGGAAATCTGTGATTGTGGTTATTCTGCAACCATTTTGGAGAGATGATCTCTCCCCTTCCCCCAAAGAGCTCAGAGGTAGGAAGCCATAGTTCTGTATGTTTTAAAGTCAGTATTCTAAAGAGTTGTATATTCCTCCTTCTTCTCTGTGACTTCAAATGCTTTCCTTCTTTTACCTGAAATATTGCAGCTGCCTCTAGACTCCCTGAATCCAGTTCTTCCTTTTCAACAAACTCTTACTGAGTATCTACATTGGCCCAGGTTTGCTGCCAGGTGTTAGGGTCCAATAAGAACTAGCTACAGGCACAGTGCCTCTTGGATCTTCAGACCCACACTGGTCCAAAGTGAGGGCATTTACAGTGTCAGTAGAAAGCATTTTGCAAATCACAGAGGACTGATCAACGTTGCTACTGTGGGATACCAAGGTGATGATGGCAGCTGTTAGAGTGGTACGCTTGCCTATCACGGTTCTCCATTGCCTAAGAGATAAAGTCTTAATAGCTGAGTCCAAGTCTGCTCCAGCCTAATTTCCCATCCATGCACAGGAGCAGTTAACAGCCCCTCATTTTCATACCCTAATGAATGATGGTCTATCCATCCATACCCTAAAGCCCTTGAATAATCTGTCTCCTCCAGCTGAACCCCCCCTCATTTTGTCTGCTTGTTAACACCCTCACTTAGTCCTTCAATGTTCAATGTGAGCCCCTGAAACCATTCCCTGAAGGTCGTGTTTATCACCCGCCGCTGTTGCTGCCTGGTAGCACGCTCTATATCAAAGTCTCTCAGTAGGTAAGGACCTTCAGACTGTCTATGCACCCACTTTTTAGGACCTAACAATCATATTCAAATCCTGTACCCAGTCCTCCAGAAATTCAAATTCAGTGGCTTATAATGGTTATAACCTTAGGCTTTGAGCCAAATAAACTCAGGTTAAATCCCATTCTTACTGTTTCCCAGCTTCATGACTTCAATTTCTTTTGTAAAATGGGGAGGAATATACAAGAATGGTTGAGGTAAAATATGGGGAATGCTCAGTACAGTATACCACTCTCAAACAAGTTGTAACTGGTATTCAACAGTTTCATTTGATCCTGCTTTGAGTGTTCTACCTATCTACGCTATCCTGCCCCTCTCATGGCTGAAAAATCACTCCTGAGCTACATTGGATTATTAGTGTCTATGTCCCCTAGGGATATAAAATTCTAGATTCTAAGGCAGAGCCCTAGATCCCCAGCCTGCATCATAACAACAGGAAGTACCTTGTACAAGTTGCTTAACACTGGTCAAGTCAGTCTGCCTCTGTTGGCCTCCATTGTTTTAGGTGTAAAATGGGCAGAATAATATCTCCTGAAGAAGGTTGACATTTGTATCATATGTGAAAGTAAAATGGTCTGGTTTTGTTATTCAGGGTGGAAAAGGACCATTGTTCAGGCCTGGGACGCCACACACAGTCATGTGTATACGATTTCCTCTGTTACAGGCTGACTCTATCTCCCAAGTTTTCATGTACTGGAAACAGAATTTTTAATACAATAGTGTTTGGAGGTGAGGTCTTATGGGAGGTGTTAGGTCACGAAGAATCTGTCCTCATAAATAGATAAATGCCAATTGTAAAAGAGCTTGAGGTTGGAAATTTCTCTCCTTCACTCCCTCCCTCCTTCCTTTCCTCTCACATGGGATAACACAGTAAGAAGGAAGGCCCTTGCCAAATGCCAGCTCCTGTGTGTTCGACTTTCCAGACAGTTAACAATGACCCAAACCATTTCTGTTCATGATAAATTGCCTGGCCTGTGGTGTGTCCTATTATAGCAGTAGAAAACAACCCAGGACCCTCTCCTAGCCTCTAAGGAATGTCCTAGTGCCCCTCTTTTTGAGCTCTCTTAGGTGACTTTGCTCCAGAAATGATTTCACAGTCACCTTCATAGCAGCCTTTCCAAAGAGAAAAGTGTTGTGGATGCACTAGATAAGATAGAGTCTGCTCAGAATGCTAACAGCTATTTACACAGCGGCTACATTATGTCAGGTTATATGTCATCTACAGATGATTCAAGTGTATGGAAGAGGACAGGCATGGTGGTACATGCCTGTAATCCCAACACTTGGGAGATGGAGGCAGGAGGCCAGTCGTTCTACATGAGATCATGTCTCAAAAAAAAGTATATGGGAAGATTGCGTAGGTTGTATGTAAATTCAATTCCACTCTGTATAAGGAATTTAAACAGTCTCAGATTTTGTCATCAACTTCCTGGAACCAATCCCCCGTAGATAGCAAAGGATGGCTGTAAAATTATTTGAAGAGTAATAACTGCTAAATAATTGAAATTTGATCCTCTGTACAACAAATGGTAAATGTGAAGTGATGCTAGAGTCCTGTGGGCAGCAGATCAGACACACTGGCATCAAATACATAAAGTCTCTTTGAGGAGGTGACATTTGAACTAAAATCCAAATGACAAGGACTCAGTCTTGTAAGTCAACATGATGAGGGCGCCAAGCAAAGAAAATACCCACTAATTTTTTTTTAAAGCAGTTTGGTAGAAAACTGAGGTCATTTTAGGGGGAGTTTGTGACTCAGAGAGTTGTTGGGGATGGGCAGGGATGCTGCCAAGTGGAGCTTTACAGGCTGTTATGAAAATATAGAAATCAAATGAGCAGTCACAGAAGAAAAGAGAATTTCTTTGTTCACTCATTTCGCAGATATAATTGGGCATCTTTGTGTGCTTGGAGATGGAGATCCTAAGGAAAATACAGAGCCGGCTTTTACAAGCCTGGTAGCTGGGGATTCAGATAAACAAATAATTATAATGTGATCAGAAATCTAGTAATGGAACTTACTGGCTGACAGAGCCTCGAGCATGAAGTGACACTATAGTTTGCAGATTAAACCCAAGTAGTAACGTTGGGGTTAAAGAGAACAGAGCACAGGTGCTGAGGCCCTGGGGTGAGCAGTCCTCCGACAATGTGAGAACACAGTGGGGAAGGTTCTAGGTTTCTGGTGAATGGCCTTAAATAGCTTATCTTCGGAAAGATCTCTCTTGGGCATGCTTAAGGACACACCCGAATGGGGTTCTTACTTAAGACAGACCACTGAGTCCGCAACGGAACAGGTAAGTGGAAGACGAACGGTTTAGTTATCTATCGGTCACAGAAATGGAGAGAGGGGGAATGAGATTTCCAAGACATGGGGCTCTAGCCACAGACTTCCAATGTCCCCAAACTTCAGGGCCGCTGCCAGCCTGGGAACTTCCCTGTCTCCCTCTCGATTTCCCAGCGCTTCAGCTGGCGCTCGCAGTCGTCCCAGCGGCCAGCCCCCGCCTCTCTTCTCAGGAAGCCTGGGTCTCCCTTGGAGCCACGCTGCCCTGCGGGGAGGTTCTGTGCTCGGTGCCCCGCAGCTCGGCTGGGCCTTCCGGGCGGACAACAGAGGGGCTCTGCGCCCCCCGCGCGGCACGTGCTAACCCCGGCAGGAGGGAGCGTCTGGGCGGAGGAGCGAGGAGGAGGAGAGCGAGACGCGCGCTAGAGCCTCATCCCGGGCGCCCTGGTCGGCCGCGGAAGAGCTGCATCCTCCAACAGGTTCGTAGACCGCGCTCGCTCCCCGTCGCCGAGCTTCCACCGCCTCCTCGGGCCGCCGAGAGACCCCGACCGTGGGCCCGCGCTGTCCGGCGCCCTGCGCGGCGGCTCCGGCCTCTCCCTCTGCAGCTCCAGCGGCTGCCGGCTCTGCGGCGGGCGCCCGGGTCCCACGGACTCCAGCGCCGCCGGGGGACAGCTCCCGGCCCCTCCCGGCTCGCCTCCGGCAGCGTCCCCACCGCATCCCGGGTGCGACCCGCAGAGCGCGGCGCCACGGCCTGGGCGCCCCCGAGGTGGAAGTCTGCGCGGCCGGGGACCCCCTCCCGTCCCTGAGCAGTGGCGGGGAAAGCTGGACCCGGGCCTAGTCACCCGCGCCGCACCGGCCTGGGTGTGCGGTGGCCGAGGCCTGGCGGTGCAATGGCGGGGCTCGGCCCGGACTCTGGGAGCGGGTGGAGGGAGATGGCCCCCGAAGAATCCCGGCTGGAGCGGGGCGCGCTGGGCCTAGTCTGCGCTGGGAGGAAGGAGTGCACCACCCCGTTTCCTAAACGTCCACCCCAGCTCCGGGCGGCGCACTTCGGAGAGAATGGCCCTGATGCCGCAGGCTGCAGGCTACTTCCACTGGCTCCGGCCGTGCCCGAAGCATCCCTAGAAAGTGCTCTTCCGTGGGGGGAAGGGGCTGAGAAAAGGCAGGGAAGCCGCAGGAAGGAACAGGGCAGCCACAGGCTCCCCTCCCTGTTGCCCGGGGCTCCACCCCCACCCAAAGAGAAATCCCAGCCCGTAAGGAAGGGAGGGAGGCGGAGGCCACCCGGCTGCAGGCTGTAAACGCGGTTTTGCTCTGGGAGACTACAATTAGAGAGGAAAGAGGTTGAGGAATAAGAAGCAGGGAGGTTCCCAGGCAGGAAAGCCAGTTCCAGGGCAGGAAACCTAACGTGGAAGAGAAACCTTTTCTTTGGGAGTTCAAGCTGGGAGGGCCCTGGTATCACGTGACCCTCGAGCTCTCTCTGTCGGACCTGGCCTAAAGGCCAGAAGTGATTCACCTGAAGTCACTCAGCAATTTGAAAGGAGAATTGAGCTTTAAACATAGTCTCTTTAACTCCCAGAACTGTTAATGTCACAGTCACGAAGTTGTACAATCCCAGATGCAAGAACAGCAGGGTGGTTTCCACTCTGAGTCCAACCTAGCTCTGTCACCTACCAGCACACAGAAACCACTTTAAGATATTTAAGGGGAACGACAGCATTAATAGAAGCCACTGTGCACAGCTAGGTAACGAGTTTAGTGCCATACCTGGCACATTAATTCTGTCTCTCCCTCTCCCCCATCAGTCCTGTAAACATGTGCCAAGTATTAGCTGTGCTTTAAGGAGGAAGAAGTGCCCCAAGGATGTCACAGGCCAGCAGAGGAAGCAAAAAGTAAAATTACGGTGTGATAAGTGCTGAAGCTAGTAAACAAGGCTGTGGGATCTCAGAGGCAGGACTGTTGGATTGTGGGAGAAAAAGCATCTCAGACAGATGGAGCTGTGTACAAAGGCCTAGAGGTGTGAAATCACAGCCACCAGGGTAATGTCACCCTGCCAGAAGATCCTCAGGGTGGGGACTGTGAAATGAAATGAGAAAGAAATTGAAGCCAATCTCCAAAGAGTCTTTAGTGATGGAACACTCCAAACATGTTTTTTAAAAATAGAAAAACTAGGGTTTGAAGATGTGGCTCAACTGTTAGAACACCAGAGTGGCATGCATGGAGCTCCAAGTTCCATTCCCAGCACCACATAAACCTGGCATGGTGGCACCTGCCTGTGGTCCCAGGTGGAAGGAGGAAGATCAGAAGTTCAAGGTTATTCTTGGCTACAAAGTGAATTTGAGGCCATTCTGGGCTACAGGGAGGGGGAGCTGCGGCAGCAAACATCTTACAGCTTCAGCAACTGGCCAATTTCGTTTCATCTACACACCCATACCTCCCCTGACTTATTATGAAACAAGCCCAACACATGAAAGACTTCATATTATTATGTGCAGAGATGTTTTAATGTCAGGAACAACCTCTGCCATTCAGGTGTGTACCACCTTGGGCATCTTTAAACCCTGACCTTCCTACCTCCTTCATGTGGCTGTTCTGAACATTTACAGAAGGAATGATGGCAGTGGTAGCAGCTGCAATTTTTGCAGTTTTGAGAAATAAGCTGTACCACAATGACACATACATTAGAAGAAACTACTTTAAGGGGTAGGGAGACAAACCAGAATCATATGGTGACGTACCCTGATATCTGTGCCACACCTCTAAGTCCTCACACAGCTCCATCTGCCTACCTCCACTGAGGCCATCAGCCAGTAACCAACCATCTGAAAGAAAAAACAAAAGATAAATTGAGTCTCATAAAAAAAAATTAAGCTTCCCTTCCAAGTGACTTTAATCATAAACTCATAAGAATGAGGGGCTTTAAGTTATAGAAAACATTGGAAATAATGGAAATCAGCAAGCCACATTTTACAAATGAGAAAAACAGACACAAGCGTTTTCTGTGGTGCTGAGGCCAGAGCCAGGCTTCTGAATTCATGATCTGGAGACCTTTTTAGTTTACTCTTTTGCCTAGATTTGGCCTTAGAGTTTCTTGGTGCACACACATTTCCTTGCCCAATTCGTAGAAGTTGAGAGAAGGAAGAGAAGTAGGTCAAGAAATGGCTTTCTGGTTCCCAGAAATGGCTTTCTGGTCCTGTGTGACAGTTGGTCTTTGAGACCCTGACAAACTTCCTTTCCACAAACTTTATAAGTGACACTAAGTTAGATTAGTGGCACAATCCCCTGGCCACTGTGCTAACCTCCCAGCTGCCTCCTTAGTTCTCATTAGCAAAGGGCTCTGAAATCAGACACCTAGACCTCATTTCTCTGGGGTTTTTTTCTGTCCTGCTAGGACTGCCCAGATGCATGTGAAGCCTCTCTCTGTCCTGAATTTGACTACACATCCCTCTGGCTACGACTATATAGCACCTTTGATGTGTTCAATGAGTATTTGGCCCATGTCTTGGTAGGACTCAGAGCTCTTGTGTCTTTTTGGAGCATAAAGTCTGTCTAGTTACTGATGAAATGTGACAGCTGTAGTGCCTGTGTGTGACCTGATTGGGCTCTGATGTGCTGAGTCAACAGGCAGCATTGCTACTTTGCAGGGAAGCCCCTGGCCTATAAAATATTGGAGAAGATAGTAGCTCATAAGGTTTCATAAGTTACAGGCAGATAAATGAGGACACATACAAGGAGTCTTAGCATCCCTGGTGAAGGGAACTCAGCAGAGAGCAACCAGTGAACTTGCCTCACTTCTGGGAGTATGACACAGGTAGGCAGAGAAAGGTGGCATAGTGAATGTCAACTTGTAAAGTCAGCCCAGTTGTTCACCTGGGAAGAGACAGATTTAGATGTGTTACGTTCCCTGGGCTTAGTGGAATTACCAGGGTCTCAAAGGGACTTGTTCAGACTCTACTTTTATTCACTGACTGGCTCTTATATATCAGGCACTACTGGTGCTAGTGACACAGCCAAACCAGGCACTTCGAACACCTGTTTTCCTGGGCCTTACACTCCAGACTTGTAATAGACACGTTAATAACAATTAGAAGGTAAGTGTGGAGACATAGACACAGACAGATATGGAAATGGTGACATGGACTTGTCCAAATAGCAAGGAGTCATGTTCTGCTGTGGGAAGAACACTCCAGGAAGAGGAAATCACTCTGGCTAAGGTGAGCCTGGACTGTTTGGAGACAGGCAGGAGGCCAGAGTGTCTGGAGTAGAGTGGGTGTGCAGGGGACTGGCAGCAGAGGAGAACAGTGCAGGGCAGGACTAGATAGTGCAGAGCCCTCCAGGCCATGGTCACAGGGTGGAGTTTTATTCAAAATCTAACAGCTTGATAAAAAACTGGGTTTGTTTTTAAAATATACCTCTGGCTGATGTATGGAGAATGGATGATCCAGGATGCTGGGCTGGGAGCAGAGGAGTCAGGGAGATTGAGATACAGCCTCCCTGCTTTGAGGTGCTCAGCACCCACCCAAACAGATAAGAGCAGCAGCACCCCCATGGAAAGGGCCAGCACATGCAGCATCTCTGAAGCACAGGCCTAATTCAAAGGTGGCTTCAGGGAGTGCTCCCTGCAGGTGGGCAGTAGAGGCCAAATTGTACTTGAAACAAAGAGTACCAGCAGGTGCACAGGTAGGCAGAGGCAGCAATGGTGGCAGTGGAGTGCATGACCCAGGAGCCAGACTGTCTAGTGCAGACCCAAGTCCTGCCACTGAGCAGCTATGAAGGCCCAGAGTAGTTACCTACCTTCATGTCCAAGTCCTTATCCTTAAAGTAGAAGTAATGAGTCCAAGTCCTTATTTTACCTTCACTTAGAAAGTGCCATGAAGGGGCTATAAGATGGCTCAGTTGTAAAGTGCTTGTTGTACAAGTATGAGGACCTGAATTCAAATCCCCAGCACTCATATGAAAAGCCAGTTGTGGCTGTGCACACCTGTAATCTTGAGTGCTGAGGAGGTGGAGACAGGAAGCTTCCTGGGGCTTGCAGGCCAGCAAGTCTAGATGAATCAGTAAAACCCAGGTTCAATAAGAGACCCCATCTCAAAAAAATAAGCCATAGAGAAAGACACCTGCATACGTGTCACACACGTGCATACACATAACATACACCACATATGCAAAATAGATAAGTAAATAAATAAAAATTAAAGAGAAAAAGCACATACTATGGGAGTCCTGCTAAATAAAAATTGGGCAGAAGAGGGTGGGAGAGGTAGAACCATACATTGAGGAGCACCACAGACCCCTCTGAGGGACCTCGATCATAGGCCAGAAATGGTCCTCACACTCTATAAACAAGGGGCATCCCAGCCTTTAAGAGGGAGGCCAGTAGTAGAGGTCAACAAAACCCCAAGACTCAGAGAGAGAAGGGCCTTTACCTATAATTTCACAGCCAGTTACTGCCAGGTCTCTGCCATCTACTCCCCAGTGTCGAAAAGAGGGCAAGGGCAGGATATATTTTTTTCTCCCATGGCATCCTCAGTTACAAAAATGCTTAGTATAGTAAATATTTATATAAGACACTGCTGAGTCAGTGACCAAATGGGATAGGACACATCAGAAACCTTGAATCCTTGAGAAGGTTAATGTATTTAAGGCAGTGGAGAAATCAGTGTCTGGAAAATAGATCAGACAGCTAGAGAGATTTTTCTGGAGGTCTTAAGTCCTTCCAAACCCCAGGTTCTCTTGTGACGTTAGACACCAATGTACGTGCTTCCCAAGCCACCCCCTATCCCCAATCCACAACAAGCATTACTGCGTAGGGTTCAAAAGTTAATCTTGTTAACAGGCCTAAAAGACAAACACTGTTCCCCCAGACATTCAGCGTGGTAATTGCCAATGCATCTCTCCATTTGCAAGAGGCAGGTCTTTTTGTTCCACAAAACCCAACCATTAGAATTCCTGTGACTGACTGGTTGAGGAGCTGTGACAGCCAGGCAGGCAAGTAGGGTCTTGCAGTTCAAGCAGCAGATGGCTAAAGGAACCCAGTGCCAGCTCTCATTGCTGAACGCCCACTCAGAGCGGGTACAGGGCCAGGCGCTTCTCTAGCCGGAGAGAAACCCAGCTCAGCACCTCCTAGCTGGGCCACGTTGCCAGTCTCATCAGTCTCTGAGCTTCAGGTGTATAATCCATAAAGTGAAGAAGGACTGCTGGGTTCCATAGGGTCATTCAGGTTTTGACAGGCTATGGACAAGCCCTCTGTAGGATGTGGCAGACAAGGGCCAGGCCTTCAAAGAGCTCATGTCTATGGGGAGAGAGAAAATAAGTAAACATAAAATCACTTCACCAGGTTACATAAATTCTAAGAGAGAAATAAAAGAGGGTGATGTACCAAGGAGGGTGGGACTGTTTAATAAGTTGTGGCAGGAAGATTCCAGAAAGAGGTAGTGAAGCTAACATCTCAAAGAAGAGAAGAGGTCGCCCATGGGATGAGCATGTAGGTAGGCAGAAGGAACAGGAAGTGCAGATGCTGTGGGTCAGGGGAAAAATTGACAGTGTTACAAGACAGAAATGGAGTGATCAGAAGGGAAAGTGGTGGACAATGAGGGCAGAAGGTTGCCAGAGTGGTCAGAGGCTGGCATTGACAAAGTGAAGACTGAAAGATTGCTAGGACATCATTTAGGAACAGCCATCTGTCTGCAGGGATGTGGGGAGGAGGTAGGGCAGGGACCAGAGCCTGCCACAGAGATTTTCTTAAGATCTAGCAGAGAATCTCCCCAGGGTGGAGGTCCCCCACAATTTCTCCCATGTCACCACTCACCTACCCCAAGCCACTAAGTCCCTTCTCCCTCAACCCCACACCTCCTCAAGCACCAATCCAGCTTCTTGCTCCTCCCTCCTCTGCCACTCTGAACTGCTGCACAGTGCTTCCACTTTCCCCCTCTACTTGTTCATGCCCCCACTCCCCCAGGGGCACAGAGCTGGAGCCCACCAGTGGTTCTCTACCACCCATGGCTGCTCTGAGGCACTTCACAAAGGAGCTCCAGTGACCTTCCCCAGAGAAGCCATATGCCTCCAACCTCTCTTAGTGGATCATACTTTCTCCATGCCTTTGCGGATTCTGTTCCTTCTACCTGGAAAGCTCTTCCCATTCCACTGCCCTCTTGGCCTTCTCCAAGCTTCAGCCCCAAATTTGCCTTCTCAGGGAAACCCCAGCTTAGAGAGGGGGACACCCTTGGCAAGCCTGGGTGAGAGGAAGACTCATACAGCATTCTAACTGGCTGCTTTCTTGTGTGGTCCTGAGGTCAGCTGTTTACATCTCACTCCTAGAATAAATCGAGGGACCTAGGTTCAAGTCCCTGTTGAGCCTCCTTGCCGCCCTCTGTGTGAAGGGAGTAATGCACTGGCCTGGCCACTTAAAGAGAGTGTTCAGCATAGGGCTTTCAAGTACCCCTACTGAAAGTGGGACCTCCCCTGTGCAGTTAAGACAGCTGGCACATGGAAGAGTCTATAGTCATTCTTAGAGTTAACACCTTTGACTCCCACAAGCTCTGACTATAGTTATCTTGACCTGGCCTCTGCCAGCAGTACCTACTACACACCAGCAAAATAATAGCTGTTTAGGACTCAACAGGAGGCTGACCCTCAGCAACTAATTATGCTACTCATTCTCCTTTGTTGCCTTCTTAAAGGTCACCTGAATGGACAAGCTGCCCTTTGCACTGAGATGCTATTCCCTGAGCAGAATGTCTCTCTCCCCCTCTCTCCTCTCTTTCACTCTTCTCTCTCTCCCCTCTCCTCTCCTCCTTCCCTCTCTCCCTTCCTCCCTCCCTCCCTCCCTCCCTCCCTCTCTCCCTCCCTCCCT